AATTACTTTTGTTTCGGGTTTTAAGTTAGCATTTAAGGTTTAAAGATTAAAGTTTAAGTTTAGGGTTCATGACTCGAGATTTATGGTTTTGAGTTAGGATTTATAATTTAAGATTTTAGGGTTTAGGGTATTATATGATACAATTATACGATTTCGGAGGCTAAATTGATACCAAAATATCGTAAGAAAGAAAATAATAAATTATATCTAAATTGTCAAAACTTAATTATACACATATAAAATAATAATTTTAGGTAACTTTTTACTAATGGGTGATGGGTAATGAACTCACGGATGGATCCCCTAATGGGTGGGTGAGATATTCATCTCTCTTAAAATATTAAGATTATCATATATTTTAGATTTTTTTTCTATGTATTTTTTTATTGAAAAACTGTTTTAGTCCCTCTAAAATTTTATAAATTTAAATTTATCTCCCGAATGAACTAATTGATCCAAGCTTGAAGGAGAAATGACTTGAAAACATTCTATAAACACAAGGACGGAGCCACCTTATGTTCCTGGGCCATTGACCCCAACCCTCATTTTTTATTATTAAAACATATATGGGAAAAATATGAAATTAAGGTTCCAAAATTTAGTTTATTTTAATTTTTTTCTTTATTTTTTGTGGTTAATTATACTTTACCATCCTCATTTTCTATGGTTAATTATATTTTGCTTCCTTAAGTTGGAATCCTGACTCCGTCCCATTATGAACACAATCCGATTTACAGCTTAGTTTGAATAGACTGGTCAGACATTGAAGCATTCATGCGGATATTTGGCGCACATCACCATCCCTTGAGAAAATTACAAGCCACCTCTCGTTTATTGTTCTCGGCCCTTTCTTTCTTGTTTTGCAGCGTTATTTTGAAAAACGTTGGTATCTTTAGACTAAAAGTGGCCATTTTAGTCCAAAATTTGGGATGAAGGTGAAATTGATAGCCACTTTTAGTCCAAAATTTGGGACGAAGGTGAAATTGCTAGATTTTATAAGGATTAAGGGTCATTTTTGCTCATGTAGTAGATTAAATTTATCATTTTTATCTATCATATTTTCGCATCAATTTAGTCCTCGAAGTTGCTCAATTGCATCATTCTATAACCCTACCCTAACTTAAAATCCTAAATTAATGTTTAGGGTTTAGAGATAATGGAGTTATAGTTTAGGGCTTATAATTTAGAGTTTTAAGTTAGAGGTAGGATTATAAATTGATGCAATTGAGTAACTCCAAGAGTTAAATTGATGTAAAAATACGATAGGAGCGAAAATGATAAATTGAGTTTAGTACAAGGGCAAAAATTATCCTTTTGCCATTTTATAATAATGGAATAATTGGTCGCCGTTCTTTGCAGCACATTGTCAAACACGAATACAATCTTTCCTTTTTAGGATGCTGAAGCTGAAAAAGGCCCATAAATTATGGACTTCCGATCAATGTTGAAGAATCCTCGGAGAATATATGCACTTTTAGTGCAACGGTTTACGTTAAAAGGTTGGAACTCAAATATATTATACTCAACTTAATATATTGAGTTTTTTTATCAGTCTGTCGTTAAATAGTTAACGGTATTAAAACGATACTACTTTAGAAAAATAATATTTTCACCAAAACGACATCGTTTTGCATGTATATAAAATCTCATTTATAACGTCATTAGTGAAAAAACCCTAATGCATTAAGTTTATTGAGTAAATTGAAAAGATTTAAAGTGTTATAAATAAAATAAGAGAGAGAATAAAATTTAGTTTCTAAATTAATTTACCCTTTTTTAATACTCAATCCATGACTAGGTATGTTCTCGTAATTCAATCTTTTTTATTCATAATTTCAATGTTCGAATTTATAATATTATTTAAGGAACCTAACACTTCGTACCCGTACCACTATATCAACTTAAGGTTCGCTGTTAAAACTTTTTATTATACATTATAATCTTGAATTAGAGTTCGAATAGTGTATAATAAAAAAATTACATTGTAAACAAAAAAAACTATGCTGATTACTGGAGCTTATTCTTTCTCAATGGTAGCCCTTTTTAGAGATGTGCGTTAATTTCAGAGTCACGATTTAACAACTTACGGGTTGGTTCAAGTGATAAATAAATTGATTCCGTTTAAATAATTCTCGAGTTCAAATTATTGTGAATGCAGATTCACCTATCAAAACTAGTTGTGCAACTCGAATCGATCCGAATTAATCAAGACGAAGCCTTAACAACTTACGGGTGGGTGGGGGCGATCGTCCTCTTAAAAATTATCATATATTTTAGATTTTACTTATGTATTTTTAATGAAAATTTGTTTTCGTCCCCTAACATAAAATTTTGTGTCTGTTACATTATGTTGAAATTCTTACCGCATTTGTTTCAACTTTTAATTTGTGGCTTCTAGTCGTAAAACTAGGGATGCGAATGGGTCGGGTCGGGTGGTGGACCGATCTGAAAATTATACATCCTCCACCCGACCCAAACTCAACCCGCCTTCTTGAGATAAAATTTGAATCCGATCCGACTTAGAATAATATATTTATTAAAAAAATAGTAATTTTATTCAATAAAAATATAAACTTAATTGAAAAAACAATATACAAAAGGGTATTATTGTAATTATCTGACCCGACCCGAACATAACCTCTAAAAAATCTAACATGATCTAAATCCGATCTGAACGAGTTGAGCCGGAACACGTCGGGTTCATGTCCATGCGTTTAAAAACAAATAAAAGGTTGAGTATAAAAACGCAATGAACATGTCATCAATGGAGTTGATTATTCAATTATATTTAAATAAAACAAATAAAAGGTTCAGTATAGTATTTAAATCAGTGGATCGACCACCTGTTACGTCAGCGATTCGTGTCATTCTTCGTGATAGTGCTGGTGGGGTAGTTGCTGATCGCGCTATTATAGTCCCGCAATCACGTCATTCTGGCATCGTTGAAGCGTTGGCCATCTCCCATGGTATTCGTCTAGCTGTGGAGATGGGTTTAGCAGCGGTTGTGGTCGAAAGTAACCCACTCACTACGGCACAACATCTTGAAAAGATGTCCGATGATCGGTCGGTTGTCCGATTTTACCTTCTCGAAGCAAAACAACTTCTTGATTAGGCTTACTTGCATTCAGCAAGGTTGCCTTGCCTACTAGGCGAGTTCAAATTTAAAACAGAGGCCTCTCAATTTTCTAGGTTAGGCTTTAGTCAATTCTCCAAGTATCTAGCTTATTTTTGGATCTATATTGAAACAAAAACAAGACTATTATTTAAGGTAGTTATCCTATACGTCAACCTTAATATACGGTCAAGAAAATATATTATAAAAAATATTAATAATATTTTTTAACATTTTCGATAAAACGTTACCTAAAACATTATTTTTTTTACCGAAAATGTTAATTTCGCTACCTAATTTCTGGTAGAAAAATAACATTTTAGGTAGCGCCTGATATTAACATTTTCGGTAGAAAAAATAATGTTTTAGGTAGCGATTTACCGAAAATATTAAACATTTTAGGTAGCGTCAAATATTAACATTTCCAGTATAAAAAAATAATGTTTTAGGTAATGCTTTACCGGAGATGTTAAAAAATATTAACATTTCCGATAGCGTTGCGAAGTAGAATATTGGACACGATACTCGAATTTGACGAGTTTTAATTTGATTAGATCGGATTTTTTAAAAAGAAAATAGGGTTTAGAGTAGATTGGATTGGTCAAAATATGATCCAATTTGACCCATAGGTGGAAGGTGGAGTTAAGGATGAGCATGTGTCGGGTTGGGTTTTCGGTAAATCCGACCAAACCCGAAAATTTTATACATCCACCTAAAACTCGATCTGACCCGAGTTTAAAGTAATTTCATCTGACCCGAACTGAAATAATATAAAATTATTAATTTTAGTTAATAAATATGAACTTAATTGAAAAATAATATAAAGAGAGATATTTTTGTAATTATCTCTAAATATATAATATATTTTTATATTATTTTTTTGGGTTGGATTGAATTTTTTCACCGTAAACTCGACCCGGTCTGATCCTATTATCTAATAAATTTGACCAGATTTAAATCTAATTTTTTTTTTTAAATCTAACCCAATCAAATTAAATCAAAATATATCTAATTTGAATCCCGTGATCATTCGCGGAGTAGAAGAAGAGTAGGGTGCATTATTGCTTGTAAAACCAGAGCCGAGTTGAATATGATGCTTAGGATTGAATTAATTAATGGATTTTGGTCAAACGGGCTGCTGATTGCTGTTTTTGTGGCGCATAGACCATAGCCAACCGTATCCACCCCGAATGAACTGTCGTTTATTTTATTTTATTAATTAATTAATTAATTAATAATAATAAGCATGGGCCATGACTAATGGCGTGCCGCCTATACTTTATTTACTCAATTGGATAAATGATAAATTATACATTTAATATTTAAATTATTAGTTTTAGTTTATTTTATTATTTTTTAAATTTATATTTAAAATTTAGTTTTTATTTTATTTTAACATCCAATTTAAATTTTAATGTTAAGTTTTGAAAAAAAAGCTTTATACACTAAAACGGATCAAAATTGATAGTTTAGATATTAAATGCGTTAAATTTTGAACGACGTATATTAAAATAAATAAAAACTAAACTTTCCGTATGATTTAAAAAAATACAAGTTTAAATATTAAAATAAACTAAAACCGATAATTTAAATATTAAATATATAATTTACCCTTTACTCGATGACTGCTTTCGCCACTTTCTAATTTGTGATTGAATGGATTGGAAAGACATTTATATTGGGATACGATTTGGTACCACATATTTTGATTTGTGTCACATGCGATGCCTTCCCCCCTAAATTTTACGATAATCGATCTTATAAATTTATTTTAATACCATGGCCTACCTCGTGCACCTACACCCTCAAAAAAGAAAAAGAATAGAGATGGCATTTGTAGGTTCGTTCCAAGGTGTCCTGACAGTCACCACATAAAATACAAGCCTCTTGCAATGCAAGTAATGTAAGTTGTACTCACCAAAAATATTATGATAAATTACGTATTTAGTATTTAAATTAATAATTTAAGTTAGTTTTAGTATCTAAACTTATATTTTTTTTCTTCATAATTATAACTAACGTTTAATTTTTGTTTCATTTCAGTACCCGCCTTAAAAACTTACAGATGGGCTGACGGGGCATAGCTCATGTGGATGGATAACCAATCTGAACAATGGACCACGAGAGAATGACAAGTCGACCAACATAGTCCAATTTCAAGCCCTCGAACGGTTGACAACGGAGATCGAATGATGAATAAATTGAAGAGTCTATTGTCGATTTGGAGAGTTTGAAGTATTTTTCGGTCAAAAGGAGGCCGAAATCACGTTCAAGGGGTTGAAAAGTTTGGACTTCATTAACCGAAGGATGCGACGGTCAGTGAGCTCGTCTGTTAAGTCTTTAATGACAAAATATTAATATGAAACGAAAACTAAACGTTAAGTATTGTTTTAAAAAATTGAAAGTTTAAGTACTAAATAGACCAAAACTTATAATTTAAGTACTAAACATATAATTTACATAAACTATTAAGGGAGGCTAATTGAAGTAGTGGGTAAGGCAGATCCCTTACCTAATTTAATTAGGTCAACTCTAATTTATTCATTGGCAGAAAGATATAGTTTGTGATATAGATATAAATGCATAATCTTTACTTAGGTGAAGATTGTCCTCTATTTGCACGTGATACACACAGGGATGGATCCAGCGGGCGAATCCATTATTATATTTGAGGTAGACACATATATGCTTGTAACATAAAATTTTGACTTAAAGGACACATTTGTCATTGTAATAAATCTAATTTATCATTTTCGTCCTTATGATATTTTCGCATGAATTTAACCCTCGAAGTTGTTCAATTGTATTATTTTATACTCTACCCATAACCTAAAATCATAAATTATAAACTTTGAGTTAGATTTAAGGTTTAAGGTTTAGAGGTTATGGGTTATGCTTTAGGGTTTTAAGTTAGGGGTAGGATATTGAATGATGCAATCGAGCAACTTCGTTTGTTAAATTGATGAGAAAATACGATAAGGATGAAAGTGATAAATTGAGTCTACTATAGGGGCAAAAATTACCATATTGCCTTAAATTTTTAAATGGGATGAATATAAATAAAATTTCAGGTGAATACAGTTCGTAAAATAAGTACTAATCGAAGAAAATTAGGATTTTAGTGCCCATCCTCACCAAGTTGTAGGTCCGCCACGGGTTGGATCAAGAGAGGTGGATGAGACCGTCGTTCCACTAAAAATTTAAAATTGTCATATATTTTAGATTTTTTTATATGTATTTTGTATTAAAATTTTGTTTTCGCTCCTCTGAAATATTATATGTTCGTCGCCTCTTAAAATTCTATAAATTCGTTATCCCTATCATAAAATTTTACGTTCGTCTCTAGCTGTATATATATATATATATAATGATTATAGAAGTAGATTGAAAGAACCTGCTTGAATAAAATGTATTCAAAAAAATTTTGGTTGTTGTCTAATTTAACAGTGCTAATTTATTATGTAAGCCTGTTTTTAATAAGATAGTGCATTGAAAGGACCCACTTGAATAAAATGTTAAATATGGCCCATGAGGATGTCCGAAAATGCACTGGTTGTTGCCGTAGAAAATGGCGGTCCAACTCAGCAGTCGCCATTCTGTCCCTTTTGTCATTTTCCCTTGACACTTACACACACCCAACTTCACTATTCATCTTCTTTTATGGATAAATTACAAGTTTAGTATCTAAATTATTAATTTTAATCTGTTTTAAAATTTTAAAATTTAAATTTTTAATTTTTCATAATCATAACTAAGTTTTAAATATGATTTTAAAAAATTAAAAGTTTAACTAATAAAATAAAATAAAACTAATAATTTAGTTACTAAATGACCGATTATCTTAATCACCTGCTCCTAATCATTTAAAATTCCATGAAACCAACCATTACAATCAAAACACGTATGTTAGGACTGTTTGCAGGTTTTGACGTGGGACTCTATGATTGGTCATAATAAATAAAAAAGTTCGGTAATGAAACTACAGAAGATAGAACCTCCGGTTGTTGATCCTTAGCACGGAATTAGAGAAACTGGAAGCTGCAAAAAGAGAGAACAAAGGCGAAGAGAAGTATAGAAATCTCTTCAGCCTTCTCTCTCTCTTTTGCTTTTCTTCTCTGCTTCTTCTTAGCAGTTAGGAAAGAAGAGAGGGGAAGAAGATGATGGTTGTTAACAGTTTTGATTTATGGCAAAAAGACGCCTTCTTTTCTACAGCGGAAGAGGTTCAAGAATCCGCTGATGTGTATGTTCTGCTCTTTCTTTCATTGCTTTGTTTTTTTTATTATTTATTATCAATTTTACCTTATTTTTCTGTAAAAAAAATAAATGGGTTCTTGCTGGTGATGTGATTAATTTCTCCTTTTCTGTAAAATCATGATAAAAGGATAATCTTTTCCTTTTTCTGCTTGCGAACAATGGCTAGGTAGTTCACATGCGTGTTCTCTGCAAAATTTAATGAAGATTTTGAATGCATAATGTTAGTAATCAATCATATGATAGCGTTTATAACAAGTTTCTGCTTCAAACACTTTTGAGCATGGATTTATATAAGAAGCTTCAGCTTCATGTATGTTCTTGGTTTCACCTTTTCCAGAATGGAATCAGCATATAGGATGTGGACCAAAGAGAGGAGAAATGGGAAAAATGCTTCGCGGTCGGCCGATCTTTGTCGAGAGTTGCAAACTGCGTTGGGTACTGCTAAATGGCAGGCATGCTACCTTTCCTTCTTTCGTTTTTCTTTAAAATAGAAATAGCTAGGACATTCGTATTTGGTAGATATCATTACTTTTGATCCGTTTTGTGGAAGCTTGAGGAATTGGAATTTTATTGTAGTTTTTGAATTTAGTATGTTGTAATAGATAAAATTACCCCAGATTGTTCAATTAGATATTTACCGTTGTCGTGGACTCAAAGCGTAGACATTTTTGCATCCCCAACCTTTATTTGATGTTCTGTCTGTTTACCCTACCATTTGCTAATTTTAGTCGTTGCACGATGTTAAACTGTGGATGTATTCAGTTGGAAGAGTTCGAGAGAGCTATAAGATTGAGCCATGGACATCATTGTGATGATAGTAGGGCATCTAGGCACAGACAATTTATTGCTGCCATTGAGAGTCAGATTCACCGTGTGGAAGCTGCATTAAAAGAAGCTTTTATCGAGGAGGGAAAGCATCCCCTTCGTTGGGTAGATTTGGATGAAGAGGAATGTGATGATTTGGCCATGTTCCTTTCTGGATCCTCTCCAAGCTTGCAACCATCTAAGACAAACACTCTTTTGCTGAAGAAAAAGGACACCGATCCTAATGTCGATGCTTCTTGCGATGGGAATATGCCTGGAGTCGAATTTTCTAATGATTTTGGCAAAGATGTTGAGTGTGTCATTGATGTAGATGATGGAGAAAGTTCTGGAAAGACGGATGATGTTAGTTCTGGACTTGATAGAACAAATAGTACACAAAGAACATGGAGCTCTTCAAATTTTGGTACATTGAAAATTGTAATTGCTGATGAATATGAAGATAGAAGTCAAATCAGGTCAGGCATGGAGGCGACTCCTAAGGAAAAAGGATCGAAGCCTTTCTTCCTTAAGCGAAGGTGTGGAGAACTTCCACAGGTGAAAGGTGCACTTAATTTATTCAGTCAGGTAAGAATCAGGAGAGGGGCATTGTATACTTTGTTTCTTCTTTGTTCCGATTTTACGCCATGCTACATTTCTTTTATAAACAACATTTTGAGCATGGATTTTTGCTGAGTTCTCAGGGAACATAATAAATTCAATGTATTGCAGTGCTTTGGCTGTGTTGGCGCATTACAGAGACAATTACAAAGTCCAGTGCAATTGCAGTTTAGTTGTTCACTGCAACTCACTCTCATTTTATTGATTGCCATTTTTCTAATAGGTGATCTCTTTCTCTACTCGAATTTAGGACTTCTAGTTTCCAGCTAAACCAGGACTTTGCACACTTGAAAGCATATGCTTTAATATGTTTATAAATTGAATGTCTATGACCAATCATGTGGGAGTTTTCCTTATAGATTTTTTCTTCGGTTAAAAAACGTGAACCGACGTTGAAATCAGATGCAGATAACAAATCTTCAATGGCATCCATGTCTTTTTATGGTTTCTTCTCCATTTTTGTCTATTGAGCATTTCTAAGCTTCATTCTTTTCATCTTTTCCCTGCTGTGTATAGAACCTTTGAGTCGATCGATTGAAAGCTCGTCAATTACGAGCTAATAACTCAGACCACTTCCTAACAATGCCAATAATGATCTTTTCATTCTGAACACTTCTAGTTCAGTACTTGTTTGCAGAAAAAAATGGATTTTAAACAACAAACAACCTATGGAATCACATGTTCGGTTTTAGTAGTAATCTGGCATTTTTAATACCATGTTTAGGGATAGTAGTAGTTTATGTATGTGCCTTCAAATCTTCATCTAATACTTGTAAATTTAGTGGCATCATAAATTTGTGATTAATTCTAATGTGATGACATTAATTCATGATTTTAAACTATGGAAAGAACCTTTATTTTGTTTTAATGCACTGCAGTGCCTTTTGTACTGTATTCAAGCTGAGAGCAAGTGGCTGCTGTGTGGTGTGGATCAAACAACAGGTAAACCCATCTCCTCAAGATACATCAACTTATTTTCTTTGCAATGTAGTCAAAGGTACTGAATTTAACCCAGTATTTCTTCTAGGTGGCTCTAATGTGCCATAATTTAGAAAGAACAGCATCGATCTTCTAATAATTTCCGACTTCCCTTTGAAGCTTGGAACTTTTTGGTATGACAGTGAATCTCTTGCCTGTTGTTCTCTATATGTGGGAGAGGCAGCCGGAGCTAACTCAGACCGGAGTTGTATGTCGATCTGGATTTCCTTGTGATACTCTGTAAACGCATTGGTTGTCGCATGTCTGTGTGTGTGTGTATATATATATAGGATTTGGTAACATGGACAGTCATGTTGCCATGTGAGCTAAGCTTCATTGCTCATACATTTTATATAAATATTTCATCAAGAATGGTTGTCGGTTGTAGGCATTATGAGGGACTTATCTGCCTTCATAACACTTGCAGGTACTTGGAACTAATATTAGAAGGGTTGCTTCAGTTGTAATTTCTTCAAATTTAGTGAATCATGTTATATGATGAATGAATTGAAAGAACATACTTGGAGGTGAAGTTGACAATGAATGATTTTATAATTTTTTCAGAAAAATTCTCGAGAATCTAATCCAACGAATTGAATGAGGAGATCAATGTGACATCTAACGTCTTTTGAAGTTATGACACATGATACGACTCAGGGGTGTGAACGTTTAATGTCAAATGATCGAAAATTGTTTTTGAACATATATTGTCTTGTACTTACTCCAGATTAATAAAAAAAACGATTCAATGATATGTTTATAACAATTGATTAACTAAATGATTTATTTATAATTTTTTAAAATCGAATGATTTATGCTGCAATTTATCTTTTTGGTAGTATAAATTTATATATTTTTATATTGATTTGTTCAAGAGTTGAACCTAGTATTTGAGATTATTTAAATAAAATCATTATATTGTAAAATGAATTTGAATAAAAAAAATTAAGTCAGTCGGATTCAAGTTACTTTTATTTTAGGGTAAATTACGCATTTAATACTTAAACTATTAATTTTGGTATATTTTAGTATCTAAAATTTTATTTTTTTGAAAACTACACCTAATGTTTAGTTTTTGTTTCAGTTTAGTATCTCGTCGTTAAAAACTTAATGATTTTAGTACATAAACTATTAATTTTGGTATGTTTTAGTACCTAAACTTTAAAAAAAAAATAATCAAAACTTAACGTTAAATTTTAAAAGAGTACTAAAATGAAACAAAAATTAAACTTTAAGTATGATTTTGAAAAATATGAATGTTTAGATACCCAAACAAAATAAAATTGATAGTTTTGGTGCGAAACGCGTAGCCTACCCTTTCTTTTATATGATATGCTCTATTATTTGAAAAAATAAAAGGCGCCACTGTCCGTAATCTTTCCCAAAGGGCAAATACCAAAATTTTGGGCAAACATGATGCCGCAAAGCCTCCTTCAATTAGCCTCCCAAAAGTGCACGACAGGATGCCCAATCCTTGACCGCTTGCTCGGCGGCGGCATTCCTTGCGATTCGGTGACTGAGATCGTCGCAGAGAGCGGTTCCGGCAAGACCCAAATCTGTCTCCAATTGTCACTCCATGTCCAACTCCCTGTCTCCCATGGCGGTCTAGCCGCCTCCTCTCTCTATCTGCACACCGAGTTCCCCTTCCCCTTCCGCCGCCTTCACCAGCTATGTCTTTCGTTTCGCTCCTCAAATGCCCGCTATTTCCCCATTAATGACAACCTTTGCGATCGTATATTTGTGCAGAGTGTACACTCTGTTGATCACCTGCTCGAGATTATGTCTAAAACGGAGCCTTTCATTGAAAATTCGAAAACCCAAGTTCCGGTTCGTCTCATCGTGATTGATTCGATCGCTGCCTTGTTTAGGTCTGAGTTTGACAACACCCCGGTTGAGCTTAAGAGAAGATCATCCCTGTTCTTTAAAATATCTTCCAAGTTAAAGGCGCTTGCAAAGAGGTTTAATTTAGCAGTTTTGGTGACGAATCAGGTGGTTGATTTGATGGGACCTAATGAGGGGATAAATGGGTTGAGGATTGGGAATTTAGGATGTTTATATACGTCTGGTAGGCGGGTTTCTCCTGCATTGGGGCTGGCTTGGGCTAATTGTGTTAATTCAAGGTTATTCTTATCTAGGATTGAAGAGGTTATTGGTGAAGAGAATGGAAAATTAAATGGGGAAAGCAGTGATTTTGTGTTTAAGAAAACCAGGAGAAAACTTTATGTTGTTTACGCCCCCCATTTGCCTGAATCATCTTGTGAGTTTGAGATCACTAGAGAAGGGCTTTTTGGAGTTGAAAGATAGCTTACTGGTTGATTTTGTACAATAAGAAATCATCTGGAGGCTGCTTTGTTGAAACTTGGAGCCTTTTTTATTTATGATTGAGTTTAGAAGAGAGAATCACCATGCTTTTCTTTGTGTTTTCACATTTCTTCTAGCGCACTTTATCCCTTCTTTTGTTTATCATGAGTGGTTCTAGATTGATTTTCCAATGATTTTTTGTTCTCTTCAAGTGTAAATTATGGATATTGCTTTTATGTAACTAAGGCATAAGCGCATATTTGAGCTGGGAACATATTTCAATGATCTTCTCTTTCAGGCTTCATAATGTCCCTGATTCTTTTATTTATGTTGTGACATTCTAGCTATTGCTAGAGATTTTATGAGTTAGTTGTTCTTTCTCTTTTTCATTTTTGACCAGCATGCCACGATTGTTGACTTGGTTTTATCAGGGCAGTAGAGTTATGCCATGTTGTCAAGAAGAGACATCATTGTAACTTGTTTTAGTGTAGGTTGTAAAAATGTGTTTTCTTTCAGTCTCTATCAACGTCTGAAGTCGTAGAACTCCAATGAAAATTTTCAATCTCTATCAAGTCCAGAGACGCAGCAAACTCCGGTACAGAACAAGCTTCCAGAATCAGAACTAAACCTCTAAGGTAAACTTCTTTACAACCTGCATATAGCAATTGGATAAGTCAGTGGAAAGGTGCTAATTATTTGGTTTGATCAGTTGATATCTCTAATCCTATTATTGATAGTATTCTGGCTTGACACTTTGTGTTGTATATGGTATAGCAATGTCAACTAATTGGTATTCTGGAAAATTGGAATCATAGATATTTAGTGTCTTAAGGTTACAAAATGATTATTGGATAGCATGTAACGAATTTGTCATCATTCTATAACAGCTTATCCCTTTTTAAGAATAGCATGGCAGTGGAGGAGCTGTTTTCTTTGAGGCTAAAGTCCTCAAGGCTCTTTCTTTTAGAATATGTAGTAATCATAATATGCATCTATTGTAGGGTGTTAAACAAATGTCCTTAAGGCTCTTTCTTTTCCCTTTTCGTTCAATGTCCTTAAGGCTCTTTCACTTAAATGCTAAAATACAAACCGATTCTTTTTCAGTATGGAGTCTGCCTTGCAGCCGAAAAGCTTAAGTGAGGTACCTTTAGCATTGCTCTAGTTTTCACATTTTCCGAACCGTTTGGTGAAGTTGTGCTGTATATACCATCTGCTAGACATTGAGTCAAGGATTTTAACAATTAGCATTCGATATCGTGCATTGTGCTTTGCAACATCAATCTTTCAAGCTACGAATTACTAAAAGTTTCGAGTTATTCGAGTTGTATTTTACAATTTGATTTGAACTTGATTTTTTTTGAGTTGAGTCGAGTTTATGAAATTACAACTCGAAGTCAATTTTTCGAATCGAGTTTTGCTACCCTAATATTATGTTTCTTAATTTTTTTCGGATCCAACCAAATCATATTGTGATATTTATTACATCTTAACTAATATATTTACACGAATTATACAACCTCATTAATAAAGGAATTACTACCCTGTATTTACTCTAGATTAATAAAAAAATACTAATATATTTAAGTTGTGGCATTGTATTTTGCTTGTGATATTGTGTTTCGTGTTGTTATTGTCCTTCAAGTAAATTGTGGAATTTGATCAATTTCAATCTTTTTTTCTTCAAAATTTATGATTTTAAGTTCAATCCATAATGATTATATAATTATTATAGGAAATATGATTAAATTATAAAGATATTAAACAATCAAACTAGAAACAAATAATTATATCTCTAACTTAAACATAATACAAAATTTATGATATAATTTAACTTGAGATATTTAATTACTGCAGCTCGAATTAAGAATTATAAAACTGACCAGATTAAAAAATAAAGACAAAAATCATAGGTCCCTGTATTAAAAAAAAAGAATAATGTGGACTTCCAATTTAGAAAATAAATTCAATGTGGTTGTTTGATCAATGTTTTTCGTCGTTAACTGTTACGGTGCTGCTATGGTAGTTTATAGTGTTGATGTGGCAGTCCACAATACTGACGTGGCAGTTCACGGTGCTTGATTATGTGGCAGATGGACTACCATGTCAATACATTAAACTGTCACATCAATACACTGAACTGCCACATCAACCTCGTAATAGTTAACGACGGGAAATGTTGGTCAAATGGTCATATTAGGTTTGTTTTTTGAGTTAAAGGGTCACATTGAGAGAAAAAAAATAATATGAGGATCAAATTAATTTTTTTCAAAAATATAGGGACCTATGATGCCTTCTTACAAAAAAGTAGAATGTGACATGTCAATTTAGTATCTACAACAATACCAGCACGAGCCTAGGTCGCAACAAATTGGGTGTGAAACATCCAAATCAAGAGGCATTTAAATGGAGGCCCAGAAGCAGATTGAAATTGTTTGAGCTCCATTGCCATTGGGTATGGGTGGAAGGCATGTGCCATATATAGATCACGCGGTTCTTGTTCAATAAACTTTGCTTTGAGCGAAGACTAGTAAAGCAAGCACTCTCGAAAGAGGAATCCTGCCAAAACCGTAATTGATTTGCAATGGCGGATGTTTCAGTCAAAAGGCCCATGATTACTCACGTCATCTTCGACATGGACGGTCTCTTACTCGGTAATTTCACTCCCTGCATTCGCTCCTTTCTTCCCTTATTCTTTTTCTCTGACGAAGAGATCGCAGTCTGGTATAGGAGATGAGTTTTAGATATCTGGATCTGAATCTGAATCGAAGATGTTTTGGATGTCAGTTCTCAAAGATGATTACACGGATGAATTGAGCTAAGCTTTTGGTTTAAATTAACTACAGGAAGTCAGGAACTGAATTTTGGATTTTCTGTCCGATTTGATATTTTGTTTCCATCTCATCCTTTTCAATTCCCGTATAAACAATGTATGAGGTGGTGATATTAAAATTATTACTAACATTTGATCTTATTGGAAGAGGTGTGGCCGAATATCAGCGTAGTTAAAGAATCGTGGATCCTTCTACTCTGTAGTAGCTATTTAGGTCCAATACTTGATTACTGAAAACATTTTGATCTTTATTCTTCCATGTGCTGTGATTTATCCAAGTGTTTGTCCCCCCAAGTAAGGCTAAAAAAACTGCTAATTTAGTCCAATGCATCAGATGCTAAACCAGTACTTCTCTGTAGACATTATCTCAGATTTATGCAATCATTTCTCACAGTTAAGGTTTTATGGTTTTTTATGCTTTCGATTCATGACTTGTCATTCATATGCAATCCCTTTTGTTTTATTTGATTATTATCCGTTTCACCTTCTGTTCACTGTTTCTTAAGGTTTTATGGGAGTTGCATTCACATCTACATATTGTACAATAAATTTTGTGGTATATAAAAGCTTTTCTAGAAGGAACTTAGCATCTAATCAAGTGTCTGCTACTGTCTTCTGCAGACACAGAGAGGTTCTACACTGAAGTCCAGGAAAAGATTCTTGCTAGATTTAACAAAACTTTTGATTGGTCTCTCAAGGCAAAAATGATGGGGATGAAAGCGATAGAAGCAGCTCGTGTGTTTGTTGAAGAGACTGGGATCAGTGATTCTCTTTCAGCCGAGGATTTCCTTGTAGAAAGAGAGTCAATGCTACAAAGTATGTTTCCGACTAGTGAGCTCATGCCAGGTATTATTTCTCCGGACATTTATCAATAAATTTATTGATCAATGACTTTTCTATTTAGCTTATTCATTTTTATTTGGAAGTGATAATAATTAATCCAAAGGCACATGTCCATTGTCTTTTTTAATTGTTTTTTGAGAGACATTATTTTTTATATTCAATGCTTTGACTTTGCTATACAGATCATGTAGCAGTCATGCTTATGTATCATAATTCAATTTCTGTGTGAGTTTAAATTCCAGCAGGTGATTTTTTAATCACTTTAATTGATGTCAGGATGATATTTCTTATTTAAAGTAATTTAAAAATGGATTGTAATTTTTTTATCATGCAAAAACCACTTTTAAGACAAGGAAATTAGAAAAAATATTTTTAAATATTGTGTTTTGTGAAATTTTATATCAAGTGAGATGAAAGTTTAAATGAAAGTTATGGCAATGAAATTTTATTAGTATTTGAAGTCTTGTTTGAAGCTGCTTCACCTTCTACTTTTGGCAATGAAACTTTATTAATATTTGAAGTCTTGTCAAAGAAAAGTGATTTGATGATTGTTATTGTATGAAACTGTGCTCCAAAAGGGGAAGATGTAGGTATATGCTTAGTTTGCAGATTATTATTATTTTCTTTTTCTTATATTTTGCAACTGAGTTAAGTGATAAATTCTTGTAAATTCCTATTCCAGGGGCTAGCCGTTTAATTGAACATTTGCATGCAAAAGGAGTACCAATTTGCTTGGCAACAGGGTAAGCATTGTCATTTCCCTTCTTATTCCCTTTAATTTTTTTTTACTCAAAACTTAACATGGAGCTCATACACAAGTGTGAATGAACTTTGAGCTCCTTAATGAAATGTTTAAACGATTGACGTGCCATGCAAACATCATTTACAAGATGTATTTTGCAGAAGCCACAGGCAGCATTTTGAGCTAAAAACACAAAGACATGGTGAGCTTTTTAAACTCATGCATCATATTGTTCTTGGTGATGATCCGGAAGTTAAAAAAGGGAAGCCTGCACCAGATGTATTCTTAGCTGCTGCTAGAAGGTTTGAGGTATGATATCAATCCATGTTCTCTTAATGTACTTGACATTTGAATATGCTAACTTGTGGTTGGACATGCATGAATTGAAGAGTATATTCTTGGTGTTTTAGTTATATGAGAAGTAAAGCAAAGTAAGAAATAATCACATGAAAGTGATTTTTGGTGAACTTAGTACCCTGCTTGTTTGAATTTGATAGAACTTACACACAACGAGAAAGACAATTTGAGATCATTTGGAATTTAATGTTCACCATTCATGAACATAAATGTCATATTCAAAAATAACAAAGGACTGCCTAGTGCATGCGGTTGATGAATTACAGAATCTAGGGACTGTCGGTGTTTTTAGCACTACCATGCTTTCCCAAGAGGTTGTTTCTTTGGCTTGAACCTATGACATAATTGCTAATGGAGCTTATTTTCCTAGGGGGACCTCATTTCTGAAATTGATTTAAAAATTCCAATGTTCACAAGAATCTCAACTTTTGAAGGAACTAAAATAGTACTTAATAAAATGATATAAATGGTAGTTTTTATTCTCTTTTTACTTTATTCTATTGCTAGAGGTATTTTCCAGTTCCTTTCAGATTCGAGTTATCCCCAGTTTTCTCAATGCAAACATGCTGAATTGTCTTGTTTCAGCGGTGACCTTTCTATGTTGCCTTTGAAACAATCCAAGATCATATTATATAAAAAATGATAGAAAAATTATGTATTAACAGGTTGGGCCTGTAGATTCCAAGAAAATTCTTGTGTTTGAAGATGCACCTGCAGGAGCTCAAGCTGCCAAAAATGCTGGGATGCAAGTAAAATTGTTTTTTTTTATTGATTAACAAGTACAATTAGTCATCATAGATTTAATGTTCTAAGTTTTACTTTTTGGATTCTCAATTCGATTAGTTCTGTTATTTTTATGTTTATTTTATGCTGTTTGAGTTAATTTCATATAAAATAACCTCTTTATTCTATAAGTCTATAAGTACTATTATCCAGTTCATTAACATTAATCTCGCTTGCTTAGTAGCCGGTTAAATGATTCACCACCACTGGTGATGGGATTATGTGTAATATTGTGGTGATTACTTGCTCATTTTATTTAACACCTGCACAGATATATTTCTTTACATTCCACCCTTTATCAGTTCAAGGCTTACCCAAAATCTTTTCATATAAATTGCTATCAAGACTCTAAATTGTTGATGGCCTTTGATAGTTGAACTTTTGGCCTACGGAATAGATGGCAAGCCTTTGGCATGCTAGGATCAGGACTCCTTTTTTCCTTTTATGGTGGAGACGATGGCATTAAATGTTTGTTTAATTCCATTGGTTCTATAAAGCGGTAAAAGGAATGGTTATAATTCTGTTCTATCACAAAAACTCTGTCATATCTAAGTTCAGAATGATGCATGATTTGTCGATTAATTCCTTAATGGTTGATGTAAGGAGGCATGACTATTAATACTGAATGGAGCTTAAACTTATGGCACGATGTTTCTCTTTAATGAATGCATTGATAAGGTTCTATACAGCTTTGTCAGTTTTAGCAATATCGGTATTTGATCTTTGGACCAAATTCTAGGGTTAAGATTCTATATTGGGGAGATTCTCTGTATATTTCAACCTTATTTAGATATTCTCTAGCTTTATAATACCAGTGGTTAATGAGTAGGGACATCATTGCAATGTTCCCCTGGTTTTAGAAATGCGACATACTTGTATATGTGATGTAGTTTTAGTTCGCATCGGAACATATCAGTCATCTAACACCATTATTACATCATTAGCCTTTTTTGGCCTCTGATGAGGCTTGAAGTTCCTGCCATTGCTCTAGACAAATGGGTTGATATGTTCATCTGTTTGCACAGCACAGCAAAGTATTTATTTCGTTTCTTTTGAGTTCGAAACTTCCATCGAATTCCTTCGTATTAAACTCTTCTTTTTCCTGCTTTTATTCGACACTGTGTAGGAATGTGGTAATGGTTCCAGATCCAAGGCTTGGACAGCTCCCACCATGCTATAGCAGACCAAGTTCTGAGCTCCTTATTGGATTTCAACCCAAGTGAGTGGGGTTTGCCTGCGTTTGAAAATGCATAAACCTCATCTCCATTTCACCCAAGTAAGTAATTCAAAAGGGTCTGGACCCTAAACCTTATCAGATTTCACACATATATCATTGCCTGGCTTAAGACAATTATTTATATGCTTATGAGCTTACAACGCTTTGGGCGTTGGTCTCTGGACTCTTACGGATTGTTTCCCCCCCTTTTCTGGTTTATAATAGAAAAGGGTAAACAAGCCAGTGTTTGCCTGGACCGTTAGATTGAGGGAAATCAAAGCTTGAGATTAACTCGTTTTTCCTTCAATAAATATCTTCTCATTTTTTACTGTTAATCTCATCCTTTAATTTCTCTCATTCAATGGTTATAAAAAAGTGTAAACTTAAAAGAGTTTTACACAGTATAATTGGATAGATCGGTCAAATAAAAAGAAAATGATTATTATGTTGAAACATCTTTCGCAAATAAAATTAAAAATGCATCATGTATTTTATTTTTTATGGTTATTTTTAGAAATATAAAATTCAAATATAAGACTTAGTAAATAATTTTGAAATTATTTATACACCTAATTGTTTGGTCAAATATAAAATGACGTGGAGAAAATTATTTATTGAATTATGCTTGGCAATTGAATTTGATTATTGTTAATTAGAAAGAATAACAAGCATAAGCCTTACCCACCAAAGCGTGATGGGGTGGTGACGGTGACAGTGACAGTAAACGTGAAGCAAATATGTGAAGAGGTGTCACTTCTTGTTCTTCACAACAACCCATCACGCTTCAGGTCAATAACTCATGTTTATTTATTTATTATTTGTTTTTTTTATTTATCTTTTGCTGTCAAACCTAAGAATCATAAGTTATTCGAGATTGACTTGATCAAAACTTGACTTGAATAAACTCGAGTTCGAGATCGACTCGAATTCTTAACGAGTCACAATAAGTTACTTGATACTCGACTTGAAAAGCTCGCAATAAATCAGAAAAATATAATATATTAAGTTTTTATTTTTAAAAAAATAAATTATTAATAATAGTAATATTTATGCGTTTTTTTAAATATTCAGAATAAGATTTTCATATATAAGGTTTAAGTTTGAATTTGAAGTTTCAATCGAGTTAAGTTTAAGTTTCTTTTCATTTCGAGCTTTTACGAGTTCAAATTATGTTTTCGAGTTTGAGTTTAAGATTTTCCCCCCGTTTCAAGTTGTTTTTTACGAGTTTCAATTCATGTTTTCGAGTTTGTGTTTAAAAATTTTTAGTTACGAGCTTGAGTCTAGTTGAATTCTATTTTGAAAGTTTTCAAGTCGAATGAAGTTTAACAATACTAAAACTCGACTCGGTTTGATTACACCCTACCCTAGTCAACTCACTTCGTTTATATCAATTTATGGACTTCTATTTTATGGTGCTATTATGTTTTTTTAGTGGTACTTGTTTTGATTACACTTCTTGACCTTGTCAATCAAAATATAATATTTCCCCGACGTTAATTGTTTACATTTGGATATAAATTTCGCCTTTCATCATTAAATATATTATTGTATAAAGATTTACGAGTTTTACATAATCAATCAAATTATATATTTTATAAATCTCATAATTTAGAATCATAAATAATGAAATCCTATCAACCAGAGCTCTTTAATCTTACAAGACAGAATTGGACACGCACATTTTTTGCCATTATTTATCTTTGAAATGTCTTAATTAATTAAATTAATATTATAAATTCAGGAAGTAGCAACACCATTTGATGGGTCATTTGAACGGAACTGCCGGATCTTCCTTTCAACGACACTCCGATACCAGTACCATGCTCCCCGATTACATTAGACTTGTGTGTTTTACATAAGAAATATTACATCGTAAAAAATTATTCAACACTAAAAAAAGAATCACAACACTCCTCAACTTTGATACACATACTCCTTTGTAGGTCCCTCACGTGAAAAGGCAACCACAAGCTCAGAAAGTGCACCACTGTTCACAAAGTTGTTGAGCTCATCTTCGTAAATGTAATCCTGAAAGCAAATGTTGAATTAAACCTCCTTGTTCAAATTACAAAAGATGTATCCCTAAACCCACCGGAGATATAACACTAATCATAGGACAGGAAAGTGCGTGACTTACCATTTGCCGGTTTCGGCAACCAAAGAACAATACGGACGGACCCAGTTCTGCGCCAGCTTCTTTCAGGGCAAGTCTTTCCTGAAAAAGAAAAGAACACAGATAATTAGTTTATAAAATTTGCTCAAACATGAAGAACCTTGAAAAGATGACAAAACCTACCTGAAGGAATCCCCTGAAGGGAGCCAATCCAGTACCAGGGCCAATCATAATAATGGGCACTTTAGTATCCGAAGGAAGTTTGAAGTTCGATTGCCTTACAAAACTGGGTGCCCAGCTGCAGTCCTGGATTTTCTCCAATGGCACAGCATTCTGTATTTAATGGAAAGAAATTTTGCATTATTAGACTGGAGAAAATAACGGATGCAAACAGGGTATCAATCAGGAAACATATGCTATCATTATCTCCTGAAAATAACTTAAAACGTTGACCCCTCCTGACTTCATAAATTAGTACCAGAAAACATTTTGAGTACCTTCATCCAAGTTGAACAAACTCCTTTGTGAATACGACCTGTTGGCGTTTTCTCATAAACCAATGCACAAGTTACATGAATCCTAGAAGGTGCCATCCTGAAGCATGATCATGGAAGGTAAATATGTAGGAAGTGCTACGAAAAACAATGCTTTTAATTTCAAGAGGTAAAACTATAACACGCAACTGATCTGGAGATGAGATTCGTCACCCCAAAATCGAGCCAAATGACACAATAGAAATTTTCCTCTCACAAAGCCAAAGACACAGAAGATAAGAAAAATAATGTTACCTTGGTGAGGATGAGATTGAATAATATCTAGGCTGTAACCTTGGAGCAACCGCTGCAAAGAAAACACCAAGAGGAGGCCTAGCTGAAGGAAATTCAGCCATGACCTCAAGGAGGCTTCTCTGATTTGCAACAATCCACTGTGCATATTCATCCTGTATAATAAGAGGCCAGACAGTGTATCAGTATACAAATAAGCAGTAAAATAGGGTAACAATAGTGATATAAATTCATTCCTCTAACCTTTCCCCGAAGGCGATGCAAGATGTCTTAGTCGATCGGCCTCAGTTGGATCCGAGGCATGAGCAGCCAAAGCAAGCAAGGCAGACTAGAAGTGGAATTCATTAAAGAGTTAGAGTTTTTATTCACAGAGAGAAGACCGTTATTATGTTTATCAATAAAATAGTTGGTCTAACCTTTTTTGGCGAGCTCAAAAGATCAGCATTTCGTGCCAGCGCTGTTCTCAGAGTACAAGGTGGGAAAGGAGGAGGCAAGCTTCCACCAATTGGCTCACCATCCTCTTTATCAGTATGAATAGAGAGAGAAGTGTCTGGTGATAAACCCAATAGACTCAATGCTTCATCTACAACTTCATCAAGGTTCTCACAGTAAACGCCAACGTGATCCCCTGTTTCATATCTGCAAAGGAAGACAATTATGAGAAGACAGAGTTCACTATGATGTTAAAAAGGAAAACTTAAAGTTAGCTACACTCAGCATCTAGTATTAGAAAATGAGGATAACAGGGGGAGGTGGCATTATATCAACACCAAAAATTTCCAATCCAGTAGCTGAAGACTCAAGAAAGCAACTTACGAAAGTCCAGTGCCAGCAATGTCAAATTCAAGGTGGGTGCAAGAACGATCAGATGCAGGAGTATGAAGCTCCTTCCTCACAGTCACATTAGACCTTCAAGTTAGGGTGGAAAAGGTCAGAATTATCAAAGAATCATATCAAACAAAATGTCTACCTGGACATCTGGAAAAACCATTCTAGCGTACCCGCATGGATGTTGAGCATCATAAATAGCATGACCATTTGCATTACTCCACTTCTTATCCTCAAGTGGTGCATCTGCAGGATCGTAAAATACAACTCGGTATTCCAAAACAGCAGCATTGTATGGAGTAGAACCAGTTGTCACATCATCTTCATCACGTAGAAGCTGATCTAACTCAGGCCATACTAATTCACGCCTAGAAAAACAAGATAGTTCAATAAATTATAAAAGGTTAAAAACTGTTCAACTTTCTGATCAAAACAGTGCTGAAGTTCTTAATACCATGCTGTAAAGTCATCTTCCATGCATTGGTCATCGTCGCCGAGACCCAAAGGAACTATGCGCTTTGCTCCTGCAAATATCATACGAGTAATGTTAGCAAATAGGGGACAGATTTGGTGAAAACAAAATGAAGATGAATATGAAGCAAACGGTAAACAATCCTTTACTATATCAGCAGACTACTATTTTAAGTTCAAATGGAGTTTAAAAATTTTAAGTTCATAAATTTTTGAATTAAGTTAAATTTTATTTTAAAATTTTTTTAGTCAAATTCATTTATTTCTTTTTCTATTATTTGATTGGGTGTTCTTGATTACACTTTCTAGTGATTGATGGGCTCGCCTGGACTCTCCCATGTTTTCTGCGAATCATATACAAGGGAAAGTGTTTATATATATATACATAATATATAACCTAACTTTTTATTTAACTAATATGTGATTAATACGAGTTAATTGTTGTTAAATATTTTGATATAATCATATTTAGTTCATATTATTTATATATTCTCTTAATTTAGTTTTATTTTTAATAATTTAAAATAAATTTAATCATTCAATCGAATGATGTTATATGTCATTGGTATCACGTGTCGTGTCGTGTGTCACTGGTATCCCATGTCGTGCCACGTGTCACTGTTTTGTTGGATGACTAACTGTCAAAGTATTTGTGAAAAATAAATATATTAAATTAAAATAAAGTTAATCCTCTAACCGAATAGTGAAACGTGACACCCATGACACGTGATATCATTCGATTGAAGGATTAAATTTATTTTAATTTATTAAAAGTATGATTAAATTGGGAGAATATATAAATAGCATGGATCAAATATGTGATTATACCGAAATATCATGTCACGAGTGAGAAAAAGTGGATAAAATATAAATATAAGTGATGAACCTTGTAATTAACCCTTATTATTTTATGTCTTTTAATTAAAAGCTAAATTAAATTGCGTGGGTATTTTTTTTATCAGTTTTACATAGTCAATGTATTTTAGAAGTATCATTGTTGACAATAAATGAGATAATTTCACCAAAATCGAAATCGGACTGAAAAGCACATATCATCGAATCTTAAAAAAAATTCCTTCCTGCCGGCTAATCGGCTATTTTAAAGTGTTGGCGTCGTTTATGCAGGTAGTCTCTAAGTTTTTTTTTTGTCTAACCGACTTTGATAATCAATTTAATAATTAAGGGTAGAATGGTCATTAACGTTATTAATTCGATTTATGATCAATCCAATTTTAGTTTCTCAGTCGTCAATTTCCGTTCGATTTTAGTCCCCAAGCATATTAGATAATTAAACAAAAGGGGTAATGAAAATTAATAGATGATGGTCTAAAATCGAACTGATCAATAACATTAAGGATTATATTTTCTTAATTTTTAATTCGGTGACCAAAGTCGGTCAGACTCTAAACGTAAGAGATTATCTACATAGTTTACCCCAAAAAATGTTCACAAGTCTTAAGGTTCTTTAAATACATTAAATGTGACATGGGAAGAATTTCATTGTAAGTTCCTAATCTATACTTTTATATGATTCACGACTTAAATAATTTATTTTCATTCCTCCATATCTAGCCGCGATTTGCCTTTTTCGTGCTTTTCATAATATATTTTATAAATTATTTATAAATCACTTCAACTTAAAACCAATTAAATCAATGGTAAAGTAAATAAATGGTTATCTAACTATATAATGTTATTTTGTTGAGTCTCCTGATTATTAACGGTTATAAAATGATCATTCGACTATAGTCTGTATCTCGACTTTCTTCACATGGCCCTCAAACCTAGGACATGAGGGGCTTGGGCACTCTGATCCAAGCACTCTGATCCAAACACTCCGATCCAAGCACTCCAAACCATCAACCCTGATCCAGAGTCAGTCATTTAACTATAAGGTATTGCTTTGTTGAGTTACCTTATTATTAAAAGTTATAAAATAATCACATGATTATTCGTATGTTTCAAACTTATTATTTTTCGTTGAAATTTTGATGATAATTTGAGTTGGATGTTAACATGATGAATTAGATATAATAAAATATGATCTCAGAATCTCAAACAATCATCATATCTTAGACATTATGTTAACATCAAGCTCAGACGATCGTAATTTTTTTAACAAAAATGATGAGTTTAAAATATATGAATACTTGAGCTATTATTTTAATTTTTAATAGTCGGGGACTCAACATAACAATATCTTATAGTCGAAGGATTCAATAAAACAACATTCTATAGTCAGGGGATCATTTGTATATTTTACCCTTAAATTAATATATTACATGCTTATTCTACCATATACATATATATACACACATGTGGGTTAAGATCCACTTACATAATATAAAACTCTTTAGTTTTACATTATGTAAGATTGTTAGACGAGTAAAAATATACGGCTAAGATTAACTCTTTGTTTTTTTCAGTAAATATATTCACATTTCATACATTTGATCTCACCAATATGTTTTCACTCATCCAACCATCCTAAATCTGTGTAAAACTAAAAAAAGTTTACATTATATGATCCTATCTCTATACATACATACATATATATTACACACTTAAATAAAATTAGACTCGAAATATTTAAATTACTGTAATAATAACGCCACCAATCAAATTAAAAATCAATTAATCTTCGACATTTAGGATATTACTTTATTAAATCCCTTGACTATTAAAATTTATAAAATGATCCTTCGATTATGGAGTGTTACTTTGTTGAGTCCCTCGACTATTAAAAGTTATAAAATGGTCACCCAACTATTCATCATGTTCTAAACTCGTTATTTTCCGTTGAAAAATTAGCGGTTTTTTAAGCAAGACGTTAACATGATGACCCATATATAATAGTCGTTTGAGATTTTGGGATCAAATTTTATCATATCACAGTCAACAAGTTAACGTTCAGCTCAAAGTACCATCAATTGTTTAACGAAAAATGACGAGTTTGTAACATAATAAATATTAAGGTGACCATTCACAACTTCTAATAGTTGAAGGACTCGACAAAATAACACTCTGTAGTCGAAGAATCATTTTATAACTTCTAATACCCGAGAGACTTAATAAAGCAATACCCAATAGTGGGGACTATTTACCTTCTTTTATTTTATTAAAAATGGACGTATAGGTCTAGGTCATAAATTGAATAAATCTTATTGCTAAATACAATAAGAAACAAAATGTAAACATATACATACACGATATATACGTTTATTTTCACAAGTCAATAGAATTTTTGGTTCGTGTTTTTTATATTATAAATTGTAGATCGTATAAAATTGTTTATATATATATATATATATATATATATATTATCAAACAAATATTTTAAATAAAAACATGACGGCTTAATCTAATCATTGATTCATTTGATGCAAGCTAGAAATCGATAATTTAAGAATAATGCAAAATATACGTCATCTTTAATTTTGTTTTTTTAAAACTAGGGTAAATTACACCATTCCTCACTGATTTATATTATCTCTCCTATTTTACTCGTTATACTTTTAATTTTTTTAATCTACTCACTGAACTTTTGAATTGTTATTGTTTTGATCATTTTATTATTATTTTTGTATGATGTGATACTTATTATTATTTAATATAAAATAAAAACAAAAAGTGGTCGGACACTACTGTCGTAGAAGGTGGCCATTCGATTCCAAATTTAATTGGTCGTTTCACCTCGACACAGTAAATTCGAATATGACATCTATTTTGTCGGAATTTGCTCCGAAATCCACAAATTAAAAATTAAAAGTCAGAAACACGAAACATTTCAGTCGATATTCACATATTTTGAGATATTTTTCAGTAAAACAATCATATGATTCATACTTATAGGGTCGAGACGTACCTACACATGAAATTTGGGTAAATAAAATAATTCATAGTTACGTAGTTTACCCTTAAAATTATTACATCGAATAACGCCAAGTGCTCCCGCTAGTACGTAAGTCAATTTCTACAACTTGACCAGACGTCACTAAAATCCAAATTTCTTCGTTTTTATTTTTATTTTCACGGTGAACAGAAAATACTTTATTTTAAAAATAAAAAATGGTAGAAAGATGTTTTTAAATATAAAAAGGCAACATATGACTTTCTTATCGTATAAGCCAATTATTTTACAAATATAAGGCTTACTATATACTTTTGATACCCTTTGACTGTTTCTTAATATGATTTCACTCACCATTACCTGTTACCTTATAATATAAATATTTATTTGTATATAAGAGAAATAATACTAAACATTTAATCTCGATCCAACAAGTTCGTCTTCTTCTTTTCTTTTGATTTTTGTGTAGTCAACGGTAGCACCAATTTTAATATTTCATAATTGACCGTCGATAATTATTATTTTTCTTATTTTTCTTTATTGTATATTTTGTTTTTTTTCTTGAGTTTTTTCAATTTTAAATAAGAATATCTGTCTTTGTGACACATTTTTTTTGCTCTCGTGGCATGCTTTTTCTCTGTTCTTGTGGCATATTTCTTATGGTTTTTGGTACGTTATTCGTAGACATCTGAGGTCGTGTTGGTGCTCGCACAAAGATCCTCACGACATTTGTTGTTTTCTGATTAGTTTGTTGGTGGTCATGTATTGTCATATATCCTCTTTGATAAAAGGTTGTTTGCCGATATAATCAAAAATATGTAACAAAGCAGTTTGTCAAATTGTTTGGTTCGCTTATCACTCCTTTATCCTTTGTAAAACGTCTCGTTCGACAGAGACAATGAGTTTTATGAAGATTATTAGATTTTTTTTATGTTGACCGTCATTCTCAATGGATGTTTTGTTTTTCTTTGTATCTTTAGGTTTAATTTTTGTATGACTATTGTCGCGTTGTAATTTGATTCCTTTCATTGTTTTATTAATAAAATTCATTAATAAAATTCAGTTACCATTGTTCAAAAAAATCTCTATCAAGCAATACTATTTTTATATCATTATAATAAATGTGTACACACTTTATTAAATACGGATAAAAGATTTTATGTTAGATATAAAATTTTAAAAAATGTAAAATAATTGGGAGACCAAAGTAAATTATTAATAGAAAATACAAAGAAAATATCTTAAATATATGAGAATTTTATTCATAATATATTTTCTTAGTAGTATGGGTGATGACAATATAATATATGTTCGAGACACTTTTAATCTTTTGACAATAAACGCTTATACACCCTTACATATGTTGTGTTCGAATCTAAAACCTCAAAGGATAATAATTATTCGTTTAATTGCTGAAGTTGCTTGATTCGCAATATTAAAATCTATAGGGAAATGCCTTACTAACCAATTGATTTCTTTCAGAGAAATGCCATACTAAAAAAAATGCCAAGGAGACAAATGGAGGGAATATGGACAAATCAAACCATAAGAGCCATATGGAATAAAAAATGTTCATTTATCCAAATGGAGGGAATATGGACATTGGCGGGACCGATTTGAAGACCTATTATTTCCAACTTGCTAGGCGAAACAAGACAGAAGCTTTCAACAGCATACATTTCTTTCTAGGTATTAAATGGAGACCAAAAAATCACCGTCTGAATGTCTAACACAATTGCTGACCAAAATAAACCAAGTCGCATCATTGGGTATGAAGCCAGACTCCAAACCTCTTTGTATAAATAAACAGGCCTCATCAAACAAGCCCTCTTTGCAGTGCCAACTGATCAAAGTGTTATAAGTAATAGCATCAGGATAAATTCCTTCAGCTTCTAATTTGTCAAACAAACTCAAAGCCTCCCTTATTCGTCCGGTTCTACATAGACCATTTATCAGACTGTTATAGGTAACTAGATCCGGCGTTAAACCCCGATGAACCATTTCTCTTAGAAATTCGAGTGCATTATTGACTTTCCTAGCCTTACAAAATCCATCTATCAGTATATTACAAGATACGTTACTTGAAACAAATCCTTTCCTTGTCATTTCTTCAAACAATCCCAGGCCTTTTTCGATTGCCCCAGCTCGACAAAGGGCCTTTATTAGGCCATTGTAAGTGATTTCATCAAGGGGGCATCCTCTAAATAACATTTCATTTACAAGCTTAAGTGCTTCCTGGATCTCACCCCACCTTAGAAAAGCATGAATCAGAGTGTTGTATGTCACTTTGTTGGCAATAACCCCCTCAACCATCATGTTGTGATACAGACCCAATGCCGCTTCCATTTGATTGACCTTGCATAAACCAGATATTAGTGAATTAAACGTAAATATATCAGGCTTACAGCCTTTTCTTGACATTTCATCAAACATATCTCGTGCTTCATGGATTTTTCCACCTTTGCATAGTGCACTTATTAAGGTATTATACACAACAGTATTCAGGCTCACTCCTTTTGCTGACATGCTGTTTAGAACATAACCAACTTCCTCCACCCGACCTTCCTTGCATAATCCATCAATCAAAATTGAGTATGTTATCACATTGGGCTTACAACCCTTGCTTTCCATCTCATTAACCAATTCAAGAGCTGAACCTAGACATCCTTGCTTGCAAAGTCCATGAATCAAAATGCTAAATGTAAAAACATCAGGCTTACAGCCAATACATAACATGATATCATACACGACAGCTTTAGCTTCTTCAAAACGTCCGCTTGCCACATATCCATTTATCAGGGTGTTTATGATAACAACATTTGGGTTGGGCACTTTGTGTAATAATGCCCTTGCTTCATCAACTTGGCCTGCTTTACATAGCCCTTGCATTAACAACCCATAAGTAACTGCATCAGGGGTGTAGCCCCGGAGAATCATCCGATCAACCATTTTCGCTGCCTCATGGATACGATCGAGCTTGCAAAGGCCATATATAACATCATTAAAAGTCTGAACATCAGGAGCACAACCCATCAGAAACATTTCCTCCAAAAGTTTCACTGCTTCAATAACTCTGTTGCCTTTCGACAATGCATGAATCAAAGTATTGTAAATGACTGAGTTAGGCACACATCCATGTCTCGTCATATCCATAAGTAATGAGCATGCAGAATCTACTTCATTATCCATACAAAGGGCTTTCATTACCAAACCAAATGTAAGAATATCAGGAGATACACCGTTATTTAACATGTTATAAAAAACATTTGGAGTAACTTTATAACAATTCCCAGCTACCAGAATACTCAAGACAGTATTGTAAGACCTATATGTTATTTCACAAAAGTAAACACTCTTCATATCCAATAATAATCTAGTAGCCTGACCTGGCAAACCGGCTCTTCCATAACATTTCATGATCGAAATGAAGAGGGATTCTCTAAAAACGATCCCTTCTTCTTTCATTTGCACCAACAACCTATCTATGGCTTTAAATTCCTTAGCTGCCCCAAGTTTTTCAATAAGAACACAATACACGTCAAAAGTATGACAATAGCCTTTCTGTGAACCCACCCATTGAAACAACTTCAAAGATGTGGGAACATCAAGTGGAAGTTCAAGCAATTTTGAAAGCTGATAAGGAGTAATCTTATTGAATGATTTTCGAAGTTCATCGAGGTCAAATGGTTTGAGTAATTTCTGCCATTCATTTTCAGAATCTGGTTGATTGCTCTGGGAATGATGCCCAGATGAGAAAGCTGAACATGGGGTTTTAGAAACAGATTGTAGGTTTTTTCTGACATGAAATGCAAGTTTTTTCGATCTTCTCAACATTACTCTAAATGGGTAGCTCCAAAATCAGCAAACTTACCTTTTTTCCGACGATAATTTCTGGAAAAACATTGTTGTAATGCTCTCAGGTACCGCGATTGAGCTTTGATTTCGGCTTCCGCGGCGTACGATCAGCAACTGTTTTTAAAAAGGTCGGGATTTTGGGTTTTGCCTGGCAAATCCGAAGAGGTAAGAGCATATGGAAGTAATGCTTAATGTTGATATTGGACCTCCAACTATATCATGTTTTCAGTTTGGCACCTAATCTTTGGTTCTTTCTTTTTCGAAACATTAGTTTTTTTTTGTTACACTTCTGGTTTTCAAGACTTTGTCTTGCTTAATCCGGACCGACCTAAGTCTTAAATATGCAAATTATATGATTTATTATATTTTAAAGATAAAAAATTTATTTTTGAAAGATTTAAAACTTGTAAAATATATAAATATGAATTCTAATGATAAATACATATAAATTTTTAAAAATGTGTACACAAATTAAGTGATATTTAACTTTCAAAAAATCAGATCGAGTTCGAGCGAAAAATATATAACTCTCAAGTCAAGTCAGATGAAAGATATATAATTTTTAATATCATGTCGATTGAAATCTGACCCATATCAATCCCTAATTTTGATAGATAAAACCAGAGAATTTAGTATGCGAAATGAATACGTCATAATTAAAACCTTTAATTTTATCTAAAAAAAATCTAATTCTTTATCCCATTAGATCAAGCAGATTGATTTGCATAAAGAATTAACAATTTCAGCGTCAAACATGGTAGGCGAGTTGTGTTATCTACCACCATAGAACACTTCCCGTAGGCTTCAGATTCGGATATGTGACCTCATTGCTGCTGTCTGTAAAATTTTGTTCATAGCTCTGACCAAACCCCCATTATCTCCCAAATTTATCAAACAATATACTTACCAAGATCATATTTTTGGGTAAAGTATACTAATGGTCCTTAATTATAGGATATTATTTTATTAAAAATAATAAAATAGTCATTCAACTATTAAGTCCCTACTATAGAATGTTTCTTTATTAAATCTTTCAATTATTAAAAATTATCAAATAATCCACCTACTATAGAATGTTTCTTTATTAAGTTCATCGACTATTAAAAGTTACAAAATGATCACCTGATTATTCTTTATGTTTCAAACTCGTCCTTTTTCGTTAAAAAATTGGCGGTTCTCCAAGCTGGACGTTAACATGCTGGTTAGGATATGATAATCGTTTGATATTATGTGATTATATTTTTATCTTATCATAGTCAGCAGGTTAACGTTCAACTTAGAATAACATCAACTTTTTAACATAAAATGATGAGTTTGGAATATAATGAATAGTTGTGTGACCATTTTATAACTTTTAACAGTCGAGAGACTCAACAAAATAATATTTTGTAGGCTAAGGATCATTTTATAACTTGTAATGTTTACAGGAATCATTTGGAAGTGTATTATTATCATAAGTCTTAAAATACTTGTTCTATTAAGTTCTTCCAAACAATTTATAACCTTGTATTCATGTTCTATGTAAACAATGTAAAATTTTGAATCATGATCGAATGGTGCACAAATAAGATGGATTAGAGATATATCTCACCTCTATTGACCATCGATAATTGGTGCATTATACTCATTCTTCAAGTATAATTTATTCGAATCCTCGTTCTTACATTTAATATTTTACCTTTTTTTTTTTTACTTTTTGGAGTTTCAAATTAGTTAAAGAAAATATATGCAAAATAGAGCAAATAAAAAAGTAAATTGTTTAGAGAAATATTTAGGGTAAATTACATAAATGATCTCTGACTATAAGATACTTTATTGAGTTCATTGATTATTAAAAGTTACAAAATGATCCCTCGACTATAGGAAGTTGCTTTGTTGAGTCCCCCGACTATTAAAAGTTACAAAATTGTCACTCAACTATTCATTATGTTCCAAACACGTCATTTTCCATTAAAAAGTTAACGATCATCTGAGTTGGGCGTTAATATGCTGACTGAGATATGATAATCGTTTGAGATTATGAGATCATATTTTATCGTATATGAGTCAACATGTTAGCATACAACTCAGGCTGCCATCAAATTATTTACTAAAAAAGGACGAGTTTGGAACATAATGAATAGTTAGTTGACAATTTTGTAACTTTTAATGGTTAATGGACTCAACAAAGTAACTCCCTATAGTCGGAGGATAATTTTCTAACTTTTAACAGTTAGGGGACTTAATAAAACAATATCCTATTGTCAGGCGACTATTTATGTACTTTACCCAAATATTTATTACAAAGGTAAGGAATATTAAGAAAAAGGAAAATATAGGAATGTTGGTAAATTTGACAGACTATTTAGATATAGTGTTTTAATTAATTGATATCCTTATTTGTTCAAATAATTTCTTGTCGAAATGAGACAATAGGTGACTTGTTGCCCAAAAGAAAAGTATTGGGGACTTGAAAATTGTAAACTTGTTAATCAAAGCAGCTCCCTCTACCATTACCTACCTGTATATTACCCCAACCAAAACTCAAACCGACCAGACCAGACCAGCCAAAAGCAAACGACCAAACACACACCTTCTTCTCGCTTTTTATTTCCCCTATACTTTCACCCGACTTCACTTCTTTTTCTAACTCTCCCCAACAATGGAGGCCAAACCAGACCGGCAATATTTCATCTTCCGGTCCACCCTCCCTGACATTTGCATCCCAAATCACCTCCCTTTGCACGCTTACTGCTTTCAGAACATTTCCCAGTTTAAAGATCGTCCATGCTTGATCAATGGTCCTACTGGTCGAGTATATTCTTATGCTGAAGTCGAGCTCACGTCTCGGAAAGTGGCAGCCGGGCTCAACAAACTCGGCATCCAACAGGGGGATGTTATCATGCTTTTGCTTCAGAACTCGCCGGAATTCGTGTTTTTTCCCCGGTGCATCGTTCCGAGGAGCGATAAGCACTACCGCCAATCCCTTTCACACCCCGGCGGAGATCGCGGAACAGGCGACGGAGTCAAAAACTAAGCTGCTTGTAACCCAAGCGGTTTACGCGGAGAAAGTGAAGAGTTTCGCTGAAGAAAACGACATCATGATCATGAAGAAAGGTAATCTACCGGAGGGTTGTTTGCATTTCTCGGGGTTGACAGATCGGGCAGACGAGGATGATGAAATCCCAGCCGTCGAGATCAATCCCGACGATGTCGTGGCGCTTCCATACTCGTCGTGGCTCAACAGGTCGACGGAGAGAATCCCAACCTTTGTTTCTACGAGAGAGATGTGATTCTCTGCGTGCTGCCTTTGTTCCACATATATTCACTCAATTCCGTGCTGCTTTGCTCTCTGAGAGTAGGGGCTGCCATCTTCATCATGCAAAAGTTCGAGATTGTGTCATTGTGACGTTAATGGAGCTTGTGGAGAAATACAAGGTAACCATCGCCCCTTTCGTTCCGCCCATCGTTGTGGCCATCGCCAAGACTCCGGACGTCGATATATACGACCTTTCGTCTATCCGGATGGTGATGTCCGGAGCTGCTCCAATGGGAAAGGAGCTGGAGGATGCTGTTAAATATGGGCAGACCCAGGACAAAAATTCAGGGGTTGTACAAAAAAATTCTTATAAATTTTTTTAGGGGTGACACAATATTAAAGGTGACACTTGTATTAATTAAAAAAAAATAGAAAAAATTAACACTAGGTAGACAATTTTGTTGTATAAATTTTTTTTCTATAAGAATTTAACTGAAATATAGGAATTCTACCTAAAACTCACAAAATATATATATAAAAATATTAAAATAATAACATTTAATCAATGTTCCTCACAATTTAAGAGATTACTTGTATTACCCCTAGTAACCCCTGGATCCGCCCCTGTTGTTAGAGCCAGGCTTCCCAACGCTAAACTGGGACGGTAACATAATTAAGTTTGACGTTAATATGTTTATAACGAACAATCATATATTATTAATATATTATCATCCTTCTAAAATTTTATAAATTAAACTCTTGAGCCTCTAAAAGTCTGCCAGATGGGGGTAGCATAGCCATGTTTCTTATTTTCGTGGGTCCTTGAAGGACTAATAATTTAGAGATGTCAGCTTTCTTCATTTTCATTCTTATAGGATAAAACCACAAAAAAAATCTCAATAATTTCCTTCCAAATTTTCTGGACCAAAATAATTTTATTTCCAAAATATTAAACCACCGATATTGCTTTCCTCTAATAAATGCCGGTGATGCAATAAATTGAAACGAAATTGACCTACCGAGTTCTGTTTATAATAAAGGCAAAAGCATGACCGAATCCAGCACCACCCAACAAAGAAAATGAGTATGGCATTAATATGCATTTTGGTGTTGGCTAGGGGACTAACTGCAATATTCATGGGTTTGTGGTGGTGAGTACAGGGCTACGGCATGACGGAGGCGGGGCCAGTGCTGACCATGAACTTGGCTTTTGCGAAAGAACCGCGGGACACAAAATCTGGTGCATGTGACACCGTGGTGAGGAATGCTGAAATGAAGATTGTGGATCCCGAAACTGGGGCCTCGCTTCCACGTAACCAGTCCGGGGAATTTTGCATTCGGGGCAGTCAGATCATCAAATGTATCAAACCATTTAGATTCTAGGGTAAACTACACTTTTAGTACCTAAATTGCCAGTTTCAGTTCATTTTCGTACCTAAACTTTTAATTTTAACAACAGAGCGCTGAAATAAAAAAAATTAGGTATGATTTACAAAAATGAAAGTTTAGGTATTAAAACAGACCAAAATTGATAGATTAGGTGCATAATTTATCCTAAATTTTACTTGGTTGGATGAATAAATCTTTTATGTATAATATGTGAGGGATCGGTTTACTTGGTTCAGACGATAGAAAAGAATGTGTTTGAACGTAGTTATTGTCCTTACTATCACGCCTAATATTCACCCTAATGCGTACACAAAAGCTAAATGGATTGATTAATTACTTAAAAAACTACAAGCAGAGAGTTTAAACCAAATAACATCGACTGATATTTAATATGTTAAAATATTTAGGTGATTGAGCCTGGAGCTGAAAGAAGTGGTCAAAAAGGACAAGACCCAATCCCTAGACGAAGAAGGCCCAAGGAAGGTACATTAACTTTACGTTAGTCCCTTCCATGGGGATATGGAGCCTAAACTTATCATTCTACATAAATGAACTGAACGAATTTACTCTGCATGTTCCTCAGAAGAAGCAATGCTTGGAACACCTTTTTCCAACGTATCTAGGCAGCAATTGGCCTACAAATCCCTTTTTTTATACACAGATTGCAGACCCCAAAGTCCTGATACTACAAGGATTACACTGCTGTCTTTGTGTCGATATTTTATGAGCTTACTGGTTGGTTTAAACTAAAATCTCAATGAGGTTAGTTGATTTACATGCATCTCTTGTACTTTGATTAGAAAAAGTATTAACAGATCCACCTTGAAGTTAATTTAACCAGACAAATTAGTTTGCAATTAGCATCAATAATTCCACCTCATTAATATACTGGTATGCACAAGTATCTAAGCTTATCTTGTTATCAAAGGACTGATCCCCACCCTTTAACAGCTCTCACTCAATAAGTCTTAAGCTTTGGTCTTTTTGATGATGAAATGCAAGTGTTCCTATGTCAATGCATAGATTCTTGGGTTGAGAGAAAAGACAAGCACAAACATGCTTTCTTCTTCTTTTTAAATCTGTAAAAGATATCGACTCCATTTATAGGATACTTATTATTCATAATTTATATATCATTTTTATAACTATGATAAATGCATTGATCACCAACAATCAGTTGGTCTAGTGGGATGAGGTACTAGATCCCTTAAGCAAGCTTAGGGGTTCGAATTTTGATCATTGCGAATGAAGCAAACTGGGTTGGAGTCTGCCTTCTCCTTGTACCCGACATGTGGTATGACTGGCCGAAAGGCCGCAATTTCTATCCGAGACAGCAGCAGCTCGGGCATTACATTTACGAGGTGGAGTGGAACAATAGGACCACCTTGTACTACACACTGGCCATCAATGGAACATGCGATGCCATTGATTTTGGGATCGGGATTCCCTGGCCTGATTTTCTCGATGGAGCTAATTATGTGGGGACTCAACTCAAGGATGGTTTTCTTAGTAATGTGTGGGAGAAAGTGGATTTTATCTGGCACTGTGAAGATGTTGCTACTAGGAGGCCAGTTCGCTGGGATTTCTCTGCTGGTAAGTTAATGCTCAAAGTTTACATCCTGAATTCATACGACTTTATCTGATATTTTGAACAATTATGTATAAATTATACATGTCAACTCATAAAATTCCTGTCCATTGTAAGTTAATTTGGAACTACTTGCAGGTTGAGAGGGTTTTGTCCCATCAATTTTTTTTGGTTTAATTACATTTTAAAGTTCGGATAGTTTTGGAAATTGATAAATAAGTCTTATCCCTCCATTATATTTTACTTCCCATCTTATTATTATGGAAAAACAACGCATTTAGTACTTAAACTATCAGTTTCGGTCCGTTTTAGTACCTAAACTTTCAATTTTTTCAATACCATACCTAATGTTTAGTTTTTGTTTCATTTTAGTACCCTCACCGTTTAAAACTTAACTCATTTAATACCTGAACTATCAATTTTGGTCCTTTTCAGAACATAAACTTAAAAAAAATCAAATTTTAATATTAAATTTAAACAGACTAAAATGAAACAAAAACTAAACTTCATGTATGATTTTGAAAAAATAAAAAAAATTTAGGTATTAAAATGAACCAGAACTGATAATTTAAGTATTAAATGCGTAAATTACCCTATTATTATTTAAAATAAACTACAGGTTTAGTACCTTAATTATCATTGAATAATAAAATGTGACATATGTAAAACCTTTAATCACGTATTTAATGATAAAACACACCTTCAAGATAGTCACATACCCCGTAAAATAATAATTATTACATAATTTTAAATGTTTTATTCCATACATAAATATGATAAAATATAATTATATAACATTTATTTAGTATGAAAGATGTGAATAAAAAAATAAAAATTATATTAATCAAATAACTACAATTTAAAATAAAAAAATTAATCATAATCTTAACTATCTAATTAATAGATTATAAGGTAAACTACATGCTTAGTACACTATCCTTTTTGTTCTATTTTGGTCACACAACTATTTTTTAAAATTGTTCTTAATGTTACGTTTTAATTTCATATTGTTCCTCCGTTATTAAAAAAAATTAACAATACAACTAACTTGGTATTTAAAAAAGATCAATGATGACATGGCATTACCTTATGGTGAAACATCATAATCATTGTTAGTTTTATAATAGTTTGTGACCAAAATGAAATAAAAACGTAACGTTTGGCATGATTTTTGTAATTAAAAGTAGATAGGTGACAAATATGGAACGAAAGTAATGGTTTTGGTACTAAACGTGTAATTTACCCTGAATTATATCTCGTAACTGTAGCCGTTATATATCTCTCCACAATTCAAGGACTGCAGTCTAGATGTAACCGCGTCAGCATCTTACAAAATCCAAACACTTTTCCTAAAGTAACACGTGGCCCAATAGCGTATTTTCTTTAGCAGTTCCGTATCGCACAGAATTCCACTCCATTCCTTCTTCTTTGTTGCTTCCCTCCTCATTTTGTCTCCATTTCGATTCGATTCGATTCCCAGGAAAACATTAGAAAAGCGCCAAAAAAGGGATAAAAAAGAGAGGAAAATTTCATTCTTCACAGTTAACCGCCTCTATTTCTCGATTTCTCGATTTCACCCTCTCGGGATCTCAACTCCTCTTGCAAGCAGGCCCTCTCCTTTTGTACAGGGAGGAAAACAAAGAAGGGGTGCTGCTTTGCAGATCGGATCCCAGATTTATGCTCTGAGAGACCATATTTTCTATATTTAACGATATGGGTATACTGTTTACAAAATTGTTCTCTTCTATGTTTGGTAACAGGGAGGCTCGGATCCTTGTTCTCGGCCTTGACAATGCCGGCAAAACCACCATTCTCTGTATTATTTCTCTTCCTTTTTTGTGTTTTTGGTGATTCTCATTTTGTTTATTTCGGGGTTTATGAAATGAACAATTGCCATTATTAACATTTTATAATTCCATGATTTTGGTTGCAGATCGACTCCAGATGGGTGAAGTTGTCTCGACTATTCCAAGTTAGTTATTTTTTTCTCTCTCTAATCATCAATTTTCCTCATTTGTTTGTTTAAAATGGATTTGTTGAGCATTTCATGTGTTACGGAGAAGTTAGTACTTGCAATTAAGCAGATCAAAGAGTTTGATATATATATTTACGAACTGCTATTTGCTTTGCTTTGCTTTGTTGTTGATGGTGCAGCGATCGGATTTAATGTCGAGACAGTACAGTACAATAACATCAAATTTCAAGTTTGGGATTTAGGTATGCCGACCACTACTTCTTGATCAAGATCTTTAAAATGAGGAGTGAACTTTCTTAATAATGTCCCAATTTGATTGCTTGAAGCTAAAGAGATGGAGAAATCCGCCACATATATTTAGTAAAATCTTATAGATTTGTCAAACAGGTAGTGTTCTCAGAATTTGAGCCTCCATGCTTTCTTAACTGAAGATAATTATGACTTCTGTAAATAGTAAATCTCAGCTACATAAAGTAGCTTTCATTTCACAAGTTACATGATTCGTCTGCCTCCTTTCCCCGTCTTTATATATTTTTCTTAGTATCTCATCTGTAAAATCATGATAGTAAGTAACAGCTTTTAGCAAATTTAAAGAACTGATCATTTTTTATCATCAGAGCTTTACTTTTTCAAAACAGGATGAAATAAAATTTTGACTTATATGGGACATTGTGCATCTAGCTACCAATCCAAAAGCTATTTCTGCAAATTTATACAGAATTGGTTTTTCTTTTCTGGTTGTAAGTGCTGTTATTCAACGCTACTGAAGTTTGTCAAAAATAAAAATATGAGGTTGTGGAATTTTAATCTCTTGGTATTGGGATGAAATTTAGCATACCTTGTGTCGCAGTTTTGCTTTCTTTTATCATTCTGAGCTTTTATATTTTATCATAAGTGCTGTCAACTTCTTGTCTCGATGACATCTTTACCATTTATCGATGCAGGCGGACAGACAAGTATCAGGTAACTTTCCTGAACATGCATCATTTTTCTTTGGTTTTAAGTTCATCCATTATTTATTTATATTCTGCTAGCAACTTTCTTCTAAGATGTTTGGTTTGTGGAAGCTCTATGTAAAGTTGTCTTTGTGAGTCTACAGTTGGGCATTGGCTGCTTAGAAATTTAATTAAATAGTGTTTGCTCTATGTAGATAAGATTTGTGCATAATAAAGAATCAATTTAAAGCAGTAGCTGTAAAATTTTCAAGGATAGTTCATAGCGTTTCAAGGGTATTTTACTCGCATTACCATAAGAGTATCTGCATATCCTATGAAAGTTATGATTGGATAGACAATAGGATTTATTTTTGCATTATTGCTAAAAGCAAATCTCTTTAAAAAGCCGCTAATTATACCAAGTTATCTTAGTCACTCTGTGCTTTACAGAGGGAGAGAATATCAAAGATTGCAATGCATATACCATGCCATTTGAACCTAGATTTTGTAATGATTGTTTACTAACATTTCCATGTTTGTATAAGTGGGTTTCTGTTTTTCTTTAACTTTACAGCAAACCACTAATTTCTTATTTCATTTTGCTCTACAGACCGTATTGGAGATGCTACTTTCCGAATACCCAAGCTATAATCTATGTTGTTGATTCAAGTGACACAGATAGGCTGGTGATAGCTAAAGAAGAATTTCATGCAATCTTGGAGGTAAACCCATCAAGATGCATTTCTTCCTAATTACAGTATATCATGTTCCACTGTAGTAATTTTTGTAATTTAGAAGCTTCACAAGAAGGATAGGTGGAAACATTCCTTCTGCCAATGTTATTTTCGTATAAACTATCTTCAATTTTTGAATGGCATATCAGGCTGTTATGGTTTTGCTGTATTATCTTTTCCTTTTATATTATTTATTTATTTGAATGCAAATTCAGAGGACTTCTTCTTCTGTTTGTACTCTCCGGTGAAAAAAGAAATAAACCAAAGCTTTTTGATTTCTCTATCCATTAAATGACTTGGTTATACGACTGTAACTGACAACTGGTGCTTGGTGGTTACAGTCTCCGTGTTTGTTTGTCAATGCTTGTTTTATATATTTTATAATGCCACATCTGGACTAGTTTTAAATCTGAATCTTTTACAGGAGGAGGAACTAAGAGGAGCAGCAGTTCTGATTTTTGCAAATAAGCAGGTTGGGGATATTCTTTTTTCTTGTTGGACTGGTGCAGAACCCCTTTCTCCTTTTTAGGGTGTTTTTTCTTATGTTGACATTGAGCGGCGGAAGGAGATCATGGACGAGGAATTAAAGGCCCTTGTCCCGAAAGGGAATAATATGCAGTTTATTATGCTTATTTTGGAGCATAGGAAACCGCATATCACAGAGTTTCTTGTAATTATATACATGTCACGTTGTTGGTGTATACAGGATCTCCCAGGTGCACTTGACGATGCTGCAATTACAGAGTCTTTGGAGTTGCACAAGATAAAAAGCCGACAATGGGCTATTTTTAAAACATCAGCAATAAAAGGGGAAGGTCTATTCGAAGGTTTGGAGTGGTAAGTTTTGACTCACATGCTATCCTTGAATGCAAAATTGCTGTGGTCACTGAGGATTCAGGCTTCCTTGAAATCCACTAGCCTAATTAAACTGTGAACCTTCTACACTTCTCTCTCTTCTAGCTTGATCAATCTTCTTTAAACTCCTAAAGGAGTTCAATTTATCGGTCATCGTTGTAGGTTGAGTAATACACTTAAATCCTGAAGTGGCTAACGTTTGGCGTGAAGAATCGGAAGCGTTGCAGCTACACGATCCATCCTACCGGAGCGTGCGATGCTATGGTGATGATGTGATAGAAATTTGATCCGTGGGAAAAGGTTCCTGCTGAAATTTCTGGGTTTTATTAGTACTTTTTGTGGGGTAAACATTTGGTATATATGTAAAAGTTTTGTTAAAGATTTAACCATTTCTTTTTCATCTAATGCAAACTTCAGTATGGAAAAAATAGTCATGTTACTGTCACAGGGCTTTTTTATTGCTGATATCAAAAAAATATAATATATAGTCACTTTTGTTTTTATTTAATTAAAATGTGATCACTTTTGTTTTTATTTAAGATTTGGTCACTGAATAATCACTAATTAAAAAGGGTAAATTACACAAGTGGTAATTAATGTTTGAATAAATTTTTGTTTCCCATTAAAATTTCAAAATTAACAAA